GTACCTGGAGTTCCTGGGGATCCTGGGTCTCAGGAAGCACGCTGGCTGCTCTTCCCCTCCCTTCCCCCAAGCACCTTCTGCTCTAACCGCTAACTGCTCGCAAGCCGCGGGTTGGCCACCCCTGGATTAAAACATCATGGCTACGTCTACATTGGCCCCTTCTCCGGAAGAGGCATGTTAATTTCCAACTTCAGAATAGGGAAATCCGCGGGGGATTTAAATATCCCCCGCGGGATTTAAATAAACATGGCCGCCGCTTTTTTTCCAGCTTGGGGAAAAGCCGGAAAAAAGCATCTAGACTGGCGCAATCCTCCGGAATAAAGCCCTTTTCCGGAGGATCTCTTATTCCTACTTCGAAGTAGGAGAGAGGGGCATTGTTCTTTCTCCATGCATGGACTATATGATTGGATTATGTACAAACAAAATCCAGCTGCCCAGCAGCCCTAACCTGCCAGGGATGAGGACATAGGTGGTGTGACCTAGTGATCACAGCTGGGCTGGTGTTACAGCGTCAAGGATGGCTACAAGAGAATAGTCAGCAAGCAGATATCAGTGGATTGGGACAGATGGGCTCACTAGGCAAATGTCAGGTTCAGTCAAGCGAAGTTCAAGGTCAGCAGTAAGATCAGAGTCAAAGACTAGAGTACAGGAGCAGTTGCCAGGCTGAAGTCAGGGATCAGAATATCAAGGTAACACTACAACTCACAAGTCAGACTTGATTACTCAGACACCTTCTTAGGGCATCCTCAAGGATGGAATAGTAAGTATGGGCTAATCAGAGGGCTACTAATAAGTTGCTAATGCTTAGGCAGGTCCCCTTTGGGAGATACTTCCTGTGACATCTAATCTCCACAGTACTTTTTAGCTGGAACTTTACATAGACTCCTCGTAGTGTGTGGATGTTAACTGACCTAAACTCTACAGATTTGTGTTCCAGTCATATAGGATCTTATGCAACCAGGCAAGAGAACTAAGACCATAAAGCAGTGCTGCTCCTGCCTAAATGGTATATTAGTCTTTTTTCTGCCTATTTGTGCGCCTTTCATTGCACAACTCCGCTCAGGCCCATACGTGGGGGGGAGGAGGGGTGCAAAGGGTGCGAATGCACTCCTCCTCATTGTTCTCCAAGTAAGTGTAAGACTGGGGTGGCATGTTGTCCCAGCCTCCTTCCCACCATGCTCTGGCCGGCCAGTGGAAGGCAGAAGCGGCAGAAGTAGCATGATGCCCCAACCTCCCTCCTCCGTGCTCTGGCCAGCCAGGGAAAGCTGGGGCTGATTTCCTGCCCTTCCTCCAGGAGCAAGACTATGGATGGAGCAGCTACCAGCCCCTCCCATGGCTCACACTTCCACCAAATGAAATTCCTGAATTCAGGCCTGCAGCTTGTGTATTCTTCTAAATTTTGTAGACATAACTCAAGGTTTTATGTTAGTAATACGGGCCTACTGTTTGGTGATACAGGAAAATAATTCAAGTGGGTAATTTAAATCTGATTCATGTTATCCTAAATTTGCCAGCATGGGGCTAAATTCTAGCCAGCACCTGAAAACAAGCATAATTGTACCCAAATGAGTGGACATATACATGCTTCAAAATTAGCATTACTATGTACCTTTATTCTAGCTGTGAAAGTCCAAAGGAAACTTTTTTGGGGAGGAAGAACTGGGGATGCAGAATGCATAATGATTTTGGCCCAAAATGAATTTAGAAACCATACCTTGGTTTCTGCAGTGTTCCTTCCAAACTTCTAGACAGACATTCAATCCTGTCATTTCTGCTGTAAATTTCACAGAATTACTTTTACATGTCTTGAGGAAATTCTCCAGTCTATTTATTCCATGGGTAAAATTATGTTTAATCTCCTTTTCAATCAATACAAATAAGACACTCCATTGTTCCTGTTCTTTTTTTTCTTCTTTAGCATTTAGTCGTTTCTGGTTTTCCTCTGCAATTATTTCTGCTTTACTTTTCTATGAAACAATTAATAAAGCTATAAGAAAAAAAGGTAAAATCCTTGAGACCAATCCTCAGAAGTAAATGCAACTTTTGCATGAATAATGACTGCCTGCAAATTACAGGATTTTGTCCCATTTGTGTGTTGTGTTTTGCTTTAAAATTTGTTTAAAATAGTATTGGATTCTGAGCAAATAATTATTAGTAAATAACTGGTACATGTTTTACAAAAATGGCTTATGCAGCAAATGACACCACGGCTGTGTCTAGACTGGCCAGTTTTTCCAGAAAATCAGCCGCTTTTCCGGAAAAACTTGACAGCTGTCTACACCGGCCGCTTGAATTTCCACAAAAGCACTGACGATCTCTTGTAAGATTGTCAGTGTTTTTGCGGAAATACTATGCTGCTTCCGTTCGGGCAAAAGTCCTTTTGCACAAAACTTTTGCGCAAAAGGGCCAGTGTAGACAGCCCAGATTTGTTTTCTGCAAAAAAGCCCCGATCGGGGCTTTTTTGCGGAAAAGCGCGTCTAGATTGGCACGGACACTTTCCCGCAAAAGCACTTTTTGCGGAAAAGCGTCCGTGCCAATCTAGACGCGCTTTTCCGCAAAAAAGCCCCGATCGGGGCTTTTTTGCGGAAAAGCGCGTCTAGATTGGCACGGACACTTTCCCGCAAAAGCACTTTTTGCGGAAAAGCGTCCGTGCCAATCTAGACGCTCTGTTCTGAAAATGCTTTTAACGGAAAACTTTTCCGTTAAACGCATTTCCGGAAAATCATGCCAGTCTAGACATAGCCCACAAGTATGTAGCTCTTCAACTTTCTAATGTCTAAAGTGCCACAAACATATAAAATGAAAAACATGGTTTGAGTCCCAACTTGAAAGTATTTAGTTTTAAGCCTGAAAAAAAAAATGTAATTGGGGATTCATAAGTCACCCTCTGTTTCTCCTCTAATCCATTGGGACAGTATTTGCTGCTCACTTGTGCCAACAGCAAATCACTGCCCCCTGTGTACACCATCTCTGCTGGCCAGTGTATTGGACATGCAAAGCCAAAGTACCACTCCTCCCCATCTCACTCTTTGCATAATTTGATCTATAAACACTGCCATAAAATATGTGCCATACACTTATATTTTTCAAATTTGGAATACAGACTCCTACATTTTCCATGTGATTGTTTCAACATTTTAATAGCTATTTTGATAGTTTTCAGGCAGTACATTTAAACAAACCTTAAGAACCACATCCAATTTAAAATTGAGTATTTCCAGAAAGGTTCTATAAAAAGCCAATCCTGCCTTACATTTATTTTTTTATTTCCGACCAATCACATATTAATTGTACAGACCTCCAAAATTAAAGATTTCTGTTATATATTTACTTGTCCAGATCTATTCACAGCTACTCTTTATATTTCTGTACAGAAATAAAAAAGGATTTTACACTCATTACCAATTAACTCTACAGTGCAAGGATTGATGTATTCTTTCAATAAAAATTACTAATGAATGAAAAATCCCAGGTAAATATTCTTGAACAAAGTAACTACAACAGAAGGAAAAATCCTAACCCGCACAGCACAAAGCACGGGTATGCTATGGAACAATGTGAATATGCTTACATGCATTCTTTTTGCCTTTGTGACAGCAGCATTAGTGCTTTTGAGCACCAAAGGCTCATCCACCTGGGTTACAATTGTCTTTGAAATGTTGCCTTCCAATGATCTTCCATAAAGCTGATAATAAGACTGCAACTTTTGTATGCGTCTTCTTTCTTCTGGACTTTTGGACTTTGCTACAGCAAATAGACAGAATTATTTCTGGCTTAGAAGGTAATTAATGGAAGTCCAATTTATTATTTTTTTCCCAAGAGATGAAAGCTCCAAATTAAAATCCTGGGTAACATTTTTAAAAGTGCCTAATGGCCAGAATTTGAAAAGTATTTAGGCATTTAACTCTCATTGACACCTTTTGAAAAATCTGACCCTAGCTGACAAAAATTTAACTCCCAGTTTCAAAACTGATTTAGGCTCTTAGGGCCAGATTCAATAAGTTACTTAGGCACCTAAGCCCAACATTTAGACATTTTCAAAACCACTGTTCAACAGCCACCTACTCGTGTAGGTATGGGCATCTGGTATGCTAGGCAGGGGAAAGCATTGCCTTCCCAAACTGCCAGCCTGGCCCTGCCCACAGAACACCTACTACAGGCGTATTGGGGCAGAGTGTTGCTGCCCCCAGCACTCACCCTCCCCTTACTCCAAGCCAGGGAGGCTGGGGTACGCACGTGCTCTCCCTTTTCTGTGATGGGGGCATGCACCCACCTCCCCATGGCAGGGGGTGGAACCTCAGCAGAAAGGGCAGGACTGGGAGTGGTGCTGAGAGTTTGCTTCCCCCAGACCTACCTTTTCTGACCACCCATGCTCATAAGTGCCTAAACTTCACTGGTGGACATGTATAAAGCTACCTAAATCCTGAACATCAGTTCACAGCTAGTCATCCATTCAAAACTCTAGTGCAAAACAAAGTCCTGGCAGTGATGAAGCAGAATTCTCAAATTAAGTGAGGGTACATCTCTCTCACCAGGATGTTGACAGGTTCACAGCCAATACAAAAGACAGCATACTTATGTAACTCTAAAATACTTACCTGGAATGTACAAGACCCAGGTTCGACTCCCGACCCTGCTTGATTTGGAGCAGGGATTTGAGTCTCCAACATCAGAGATGAATGCCCAAATCACTGGACTTCGATATTGTGGATGCGCGCGCACACACACACACACACACAATGGCTACATCTAGACTGGCATGATTTTCCACAAATGCTTTAACGGAAAAGTTTTCCGTTAAAAGCATTTGCGGAAAAGAGCATCTAGATTGGCATGGACGCTTTTCCGCAAAAGCACTTTTTGCGGAAAAGCGTCCGTTCCAATCTAAATGTGCTTTTGCACAAAAAAGCACCGATCGCCATTTTAGCCATCAGGGGTTTTTTGCACAAAACAGTACTGTGCTGTCTACACTGGCCCTCTTGCGCAAATGATTTGTGCAAGAGGGCTTTTGCCTGAACGGGAGCAGCATAGTATTTCCGCAAGAAGCACTGATTTCTTACAGTAGGAAGTCAGTGTTCTTGCGGAAATTCAAGTGGCCAGTGTAGACAGCTGGCAAGTTTTTCCGCAAAAGCAGCTGATTTTGCAGAAAAACTTGCCAGTCTAGACACAGCCAACATGTTTATTATTTGTACTGAGCCAGGGCCTGTAGGCATGCTGACAAGAGAGACATTCCCTCACCAATTCTGAGAATTTTGCTTCAGAGTCACTGGTGCTTTGGCTTGCATTTTGACTACTCATTTCCCATGGGTTGACATCAAGACTTAGGTAACTTTTCATGTGCCCACTATGGAAACTAAGTTCAATAGAGACTTCGGTCTCTATGGATGTGTCTACACAGCAGTAAATCAACTGTGGATGGTTCAGATTAGCTGTTTCAGGCTTGCAGGGGTCACATTGCCGGGCTTTAGAATTGTGGTATAAACAGTGGAGACCAGGCTGGAGCCCGAGCTCTGGGAGCTCATAGACAGGGATGATCCCAGAACCCATGCAGCAGCTCAAGTATCAACAATGCCCAAGTCTGCTGAACTAGCCATCCCTGGGTGCTTAACCACTGTGTGGAATAATACCCTGTGGGATTAGGCAGCAGCTGGGTAGTGGTTTTAGAAGATGAGTGGTGGCAAAGTGTTAGACTAAAGAAGTATATAGATGAAATTCTGGACCCTAGACCTTGCAATGCTAAGCACAGCAATGCAAAAATAACTTTGAAAATATAGGCCTTAAGCATTTAAAGATGCAGATAGATACCTAGTAGAATTTTCAACAACACATGGATACCAGCACATAACCTTCTAAGGAAATGCAATTTGGTCCCTATTTGCTTTTTTAGGTGACTAAATACTTTTATAAAACTGGCTCAATGGTATTATACTTCCAGTAATATATTATATACTGTGACAGGGCGTTTGCCCTGTACTGGCCCTTTAAGGGCAAAACCCCAGCCCTGAGTGAGGGCTGAGAACAAAGCCCCAGCTGAGACATTACTTGCTAATGAGGGCTATATAAAGAAGGGCACCTGGACAGAGAGGGGAACTGCCTGCTGCTCTGGAGAAAGAGCAGTAGGGACTTGACTGCCAGGGAAGCAGGAGGCTTCCTTGAGGCCGCTCCGCTCCCAGGCTGCAGACCCTGAAGCAGCTAGGTTAGGCAAAGGCAGCAGGTCCATGCCCCTTTGCCTGTGTTGAGTGGCCATTACAGACTGCAGTTTGCCCCTGAGGCAGGGGCTAGATGAAGACTGGAAGGGGGTCACTGAGGCAAGATGCGTATGGGGGAACTGGGTGTTCCCTGGGGGGAGAATAGAGTGTCCTGGGGAGGAGAGGACACTGCAAGGAGGATAAACACTAGCCCCCAGAAGGGGGCACAGACATTGGAAGACAGTGTCCTGAAGTGGACGCTGAGGTCCATGAATGACACTTGTCTGGACTAGAGGGCAGCGAGAACAAGGGGAGACACCAGCTAGAGGGAGGCATCCAGTGAGTCAAGCTAATTCTCAGAGCAACCAGCTGGAGGTACCATAGAGGTAAGTCTGCCCTGTGACATATACCATGATGAATCATTTCATATTGACCCTTACATAAATGTTCAAACTATAGCAGCAGAGACTTCTCATTAAGAGAAGCCATGTTAAATAGTTTACAAAGTTTAAATTACAATAAATAACGAGGTGGTGTTTAAGCAAGGATAGAGGGATGGTTAAAACAATTTTCAAAGCATCTGAATAACCAGGGCTCGCCAAGTGGTGGCGAGCCCTGTTCGCCATCCGCGCGGTTTCGTGCCGTTCTGCGCGTGCCATTCTTCCGCGAGGTGAGTAGATTACATTATTTGTCGAGCCCTGCGAGTAACTATAATCCATAGCTTTCATCTCATGAGAGGAATGTGGTAGTTTCTTTAAGTAATGCTCACCAGTGCTTCTCAAGTGGCTTAATATAAAAAAGCAGCAATGCTACATTTCTTCTCTGCCCATATATCACATCAATTCACAGGTGTCTTTGAAAGCTGAATTAAAAGCCATCTTTCATTTATATTAATTCAAATGCTTATCTTAAAAGCAATTTGTCTGCCTATAACACACAGCAACTAAATTGGAGTAGAATAGATGACTCATGTAATGGATTGTGGAATTCTACCAGGAATACATTTGTCTAAAGCTATCAAAGAAAACCTCCAAAATCAATTATATTATTGCTTCATACAGTTATTGTTCAAACCCATTGTCTGTTTTTTTATTCATTCTTATCCCACACCTTTTACCTGGCAGCTTTGTCATATTCTTGTTTCATCCCCATAAAACACAATCACTACAATCACTAGCATATGTACATACCCATTATATAAATAGTAAAGTGTTACCAGCGATTAATCTGACCCCCCCATTGATTTGATAATACTTATTTTATAAATTAATTACTATCAGCTAATAATTACACAAGTCCTGTAAAACCCTTCAAGCTATTTTATTCACTATATAAGATTTTGACAGATGGTAACTTTTCGACAGAGCAAGAGTTTAGTATACAAATGGCAAGTAGCCCTTCAAATATATATTTCATTTGATAAAACTAATGAACAAATCTAAGATCAATATTGAGTCCTGGTTTATTTTCTGTGTATGTGAAAGAGGAAAAAAATGCCAAAAAATTAAAAAGTGACCAAAATATTTTGTTTTCTAATGCTATTTTCAAAGGGCAAATAGCCTTCCGGTGGAGTCCTCTGAACCCTTATGCATATAAAATGAGTAGTTAAATACAGTTACTCGATCTGCAATTTTATATACAGAATTGCATGTGTACATATAGATTGTGTGCAAATTTCTCTGCAAGGGGCAATCTTTTGCAAAAGGGAGTCCCAAAAAATATAGTTTGCAGCACTGATTGCCTGGGTAATTCAAAATAAATTAATGCAGTCATGCCAAATATATTTAAAAAAAACAATTATTGTAACAGCACTTATTTGAAGTATATTTAAGTAATATGTGAAATTATCTGAAATTATAATAGTCTTTCCTCTAAAATGTGGTGACCTTGACAACAGCAGAGTGTGATCCAACTAGACAAATAGGGTTTATGTTTTTACCATCATGGCTGCACTTTGTTCTGTCATATTCATCACTGAGAGGCTTGCCTGAATGCCAGTGTCGAAGTTCGTCAAATTCTGTTTGTTTAATAAGTGAAGTAACTTCAGGATCATTGCTAAAAAAAATGCACACAGAATATACAATGATATTTATGAGGTTTCTGGCATATCCTACATAAGAAGCCTTAAATCCACTTAATTATAAACAAAATATTTTGAATTTCATTGTAATAGACTCTTATAGTCAGTATAATGTGTCATACTGAACAGATTTTTTTTTCATTTATATATTCTTAATTCGTCAGTGGCAGGTACCTAATTGCTCATGATTTCATTTTACTCTAGTGGCTTCCGGTCCACCGCACTTAATTCTTTATAGATTAGAAATAATTATATAGCATAAATCACAGTACTACTCTTTAATAGGTCCACATCTGTATTATCTGATTTTGTATTCCTATTCTGACTTCATTTAGTTTAGAGCAAATGCACACTTTTTAGACACAAAAGCAACCAAGCTCTATGTACAAGGTTGTTGGAGCAGAGAACTGGATTTGGGAGTTGGTACAGGAGGGGTACTATCCTTTGTACGTCACAGAACACAGTTTCTGGGGATTCAATGCATAGGAATGCATAGTAAGTGTCTGGGCATACAAGGGGCAGGCTAAGGAATGGGCAAATGGAGAGACTCTACTACCACAAAGATTCTCCATTCACAGCAGGGGCTCACTGAAGGTTCAAATGCCTATAGCCCCCATTGGGCTGAGGTAGCTTTCACTACTGTTTTCTAGCCTTGGTAGATGGAAAAATTTCTTCCTCCAGTTCCTTGTGGACATATACTGTACTCAGTGCAGAGCTTGTTACTGAGATTAATGGATTTTATAGATAGGTGATTTAATCTTTATTCAGGCAAAGCCCTCATTTGAATTAATTTGCATTCTGTGATTGACTTCTATGGGATCAGGATCTGGCCCTTCAAGTACAAATTGCATATCAAACTATTATATGAAACAGTCGAGCAAGCATTATTAAAGACTATCATACTAATAAACAACTGCATGAAGAATACAATGATTAGGAGTCCAAGTTACCCAAGCCTGGACCTAATGTTAATATTTACACCAGTTCAAAGTGGTTATAAAATACTACCCAACTGAACAGTAGCATTTTATGTAAATTATGACATATAATGTAGGACAGCAGAGAATCAGCCCATAGCATATAGTTTAATTAAAAAAAAACACAGATAAATGTCAAAATTTACCTGCTTAAAATAGGTAAACTTTCCAAAACTGCTCCCACATAATCTTCTACAATGTTCAATTTCATTGGGATGAGCCCTATATTAGGAATATCTTCCTTTGATTCTTTGCAGCGTTAATGAAAATATGAAAAAATACTGGTTAACTAAAGCATACACTCTTGGATTATCTTTTGCAATTCTAAAGTGGAAAATAGTATACAACATCCTGCTATTTTTGTTAAATGTGTATTATAAAATCAAAATAAAATGCAACACAAGTAATCCGTGATGTCAAAGTACAATTTGTAATATATTGTAGACTTAATATAAAATTATAAGATTGATTGATTTAAAAGGCCTCTGTGTTGATTTAAAGGTGATGTAGGGAACACAAGACCTCCTTTAACAAAACATTTGAAAAGCTTAATCAAAGTTAACTGCAAGTATGAAAAGAATAAATGCCTCATAACTGGCAAGTAGTTGTGACACCTTAGAAACTAACAAATATATAGTTTCATGAACTTTTGATGGCAAAACCCACTTCAGATGAGCTTGACAACTCAAAAGTTCATACTATACATATTTTTGTTGATCTCTAAGGATACGTCTACACTACAGGACAAAGCAAAATTAAGATGTGCAACTTCAGCTATGTTAATTGCATAGATGAAGTCAAATTAGCTTAACTTGGCTTTTGGCACTATCTACACTGCAGAAAGTTGAAGGAAGAACACTCTCCCTTCGATTTTCCTTACTCCTCATGAAAGCAGGGTTACTGGCATCGACTGGAGTGCCCCTTTCCCTTCAAATAAGCTGTCTTAACTAGGCAGCTTTAGGAGATTTGCAGCGGCAGCTTTGATCTTCCTCTGTAGTGTAGGCATACCCTAAGGTACCACAGGACTACTTGTTTTTAATGTTACATACTAACACCGCTACCCCTCTGAGACTTTTAAATGCCTGATAGTGAAAGTCACGGATCTTACAGCCCAGCCAGAGGCAGGGGGCTAAACAGTCTGTAACACAATTTTGCTTCCTGATTCTGAGCTGCTATGGGGCTCCCAGTGTAATTTAGACAGCTTTTAGGGCATGTTTAGGTTGCAGCATCTTCCTATGGCTGCCTTATGGGCTGAAATGCTGCCTACAATCTCCACAGTACTCTAAGCAACAGATCCAGCCCTATCGTGTCCTTCTCTGCTTCTACTCTGCCCCTTACGCGCACACACTTATGCCAAGGCTTGTGAGGAAGTCTTTGAGACAACCTTCTTGCTTTCTAGCACAATGCAGGCACATTGGGATAATTCACCCCGAGACTGAAATAGGGCTTTTAGATTGTCATTTTCTTTGCTCTAGCTCTTTTGTAAGCGAAAAGGACCTGGTTTGGGGCTAAGGTTCAAATGTACAGGGTGACACTCTGGTTTCAGTAAAGTCATTAACAAAATTCCCATTGATTTTAATACGTTAGGATTTTGTGTGGTCTAATCAGATTCGGTTTCTATCACATGGGAGTTTTGTCACGGACTTCAATGAACAGACCCATAAAGTAATAAATTATTAGAAGGGAAATAATTAAATAGCTCATAACTGCATAGCACTTTGAAGATGTAAACATTTTATAGCTGTCGATTGGTATTATGCTTATATAAGATACTCTGATACCTTTAAATAACATTTTTTTCTGTTGAAGAAACAGTTGAGAGGTACTTCTCACTGGAAAAGCATCTCCAAAATTGCAGTTGGCAGCTAGTTTGGTTACAATACTCCACAGATATTGGTATTCACTCTTCATTTTTTTGCCCAGTTCCAAATTTAACCCTATGTAGAAAAAAAGTTTTCAATTAAAGTTTTCTGGAGTAGGGGCTGCCTCTTCATTTCTCTTTGCAAAATACACAACAATAAGGTTTGATTATGATAGTAGCCTTCAGACATTACAAAAACAAGACAGAAAGTGTGCATTCATAATTGCTGGTACTCATGGATGCATATAATGTATTTAAATATGGTCAAGTACATATATTAGGGCATATACAAATACCAATTTTATGCCCCAATCCTGCAACTGAAGCTCATGAGGCTCTGCACAGAGCTGTGGGTTCTGCCTAAGGGAAGCTCATTGAAGGATATGGGCTTTACAAAAAATCCTTTTATTCCCCAAAGAATGGATTAAGTGCCATATTTATACTCTTTGAAAGCTCCTTCATGATTGTTGGGATTAGATGTATGCAGGAGAACTGAATCTTTTGTCTGGATTCATTTTACTGCATAAATTACTTTCATGGGTCCAAATTACCCATCCACAAAGAAACCCTTGGAAGAGGATATCAAGGAACAGGAAAAAACTCTGGAAGAAGTTCCTGCTACAAAACTTCAATTGTGTTACCAGCACAATTTTACTGTTAGTCTCATGAGATCAGATGGTTTTCTGATAATACAATCTCCCACATTCATGGGATTTCATAAAATTTCAGTTTATTTTTTTTAAAGTTAAATTTCTAGCCCTCAAAAATACTTGTATGAAAATTGTTTTGAGACCTTTAATATCTATATAGAGTAGAGAACTCCAGTTTTTAAAGTCTTATATGTGAAACAGAAGTATTAAAAATAAAACTTCCTGGGATTTTAACCTGTAGCTCCAATGACTCTAGGCTCTCAATCTAACCCTATTCTGGGTTTTTGAGCTACTTTGTCAAGATAAAACAGGAAAAGTTGGCTGGCTAAATCAAACAGGAACCCCTCAATATCTGTTGGAAGAATAACATGGCACAGCACAGATTATTTAAATTCTTGGAATATAGGGGAAACAATTTTTTATTGTAGTAAGTGGAGAAAACTATTTGGGAGAGGCAGTTAGTATTTCCATATCTGGCAAAATCAAATCTATATATGAGAATTTAAAAGGGGAAGGCAGCCTGGTTGAAAGTGACCATGAAATGCTCATGATTCTATGGAATGATAGGAGAGAAAACAGAATAAAGACTGTGGATTTCAAGAATGCAGACTTTAGTAAACTCGGGGATTTGGCGAGTCAGATACCATGGGAAGTAAATCTAAGGGGGAAAATAGTTCAAGAGATGTAGCATTTTTTCAGAGACATCACTGAAGGCACAAAAGCAAAGTACAGTAAAACTCCATTGGTCCGGCACTCCTGATGGTCTGGCACCATCAGGAACCCGGAAGTGCTCCGGGAAGCCAGACCATTGGAGCTGCTCTGCCCCCGGCTTCCCTGATTCAGCCGCTGCTGAAACTGACCAGCGGCTGACTCCAGGAACCCAGGGGCAGAGCAGCTGGGGTGCTCTGCCCCGGGCTTCCCTGAGTCAGCTGCTGGCCAGTTTCAGCAGCGGGTGGATCGGGGGAGGCCGGGGGCGA